TTTATTTTTTTATTTTTTGGCATTACACATTATCTCTAAACATAGAAAAAGCAAGAGTTTCAAATAGCCAAGGAAATGTATATATTCTCACACAAGAAAATCATAACCCTTAAAAAAAAGGACGCCCCATACAGAGGCAATAGATTGCAGTCTGTCTGGCACAATCAGAATCCTTTTCTTCTAATCACTCAATTATGATGTTCATACCTCCTCATTATTGAAAAATCGGGGTGTCGTATATTATTTTCATCAACTGTCCTTTTATTAATTATTGTTACTGTATTTCCTCTCTGTCTCTTCCCTCACTCTACCCCAAATACAGGATAGCTCTTTGGAAGAAAAATCACCCACGTCTCCAAACACCGTGGAGAAAAGCATCTAAACAAACTGGCTGCTTTACCAAACTTCCTAAAATGAGTGAATTCCCTGGAAGACAAGCACGTCTATCTAGCTCATTCTTCCTGGGGTGGAGAAGAGCTCTGAATGGGTAGGGATTTATTTTAAGCAGCAGCAACTACTACTACTACGACTAGCAGAAGAAGAAAAAGAAGACGCTTCCGTCAGGTGGATGATGCTTTAATTCTCCTTAGCAATCGTAGCCAGGTGACATTAACATTTTAAGTCTTATTTTACAGAACACACCCCCTTTCCCCCTCCTCCTTTCTTTCCTCGGACACTCTATTTTCCTTAAGGTATGGTAATATACGTTTTATCAGTATTTCTCCCTGAAGTATATCCCTTTTCCCCGCGTATCCCGTTATTTCTCTATATCTTTCTGAAGGCAGAAAAGGAAAGCAGAATCTTCTTGCACAACCCTTCCAGACATAATCACGATCCGATCGAATAAATGATAAATATATTAACTTACCTTTTGACGCCCATCATTCTCTGGATTAGGGGAGGAGGAGGAAGAGGAGGAGGAAGAGGAGGAGGAGGAGGAGAGGAGTGGGGGGGGCAGGATTGCGTTTGGTTTTATGAGTAAGCTGACAAATATTGTCCCAACCTGATAGCCGTCCATTGCGACTTCTGCGAGCCTTTTTCCTTTGCCGACTCCTTTTGCCCAGAAAATGGAGTAACTTCCTTCTTTGAAAAATGACAAAAGCCTCCATCCGGTACAGATTCTCCATCTCTCTCTCTCCATCACTAGACAGAGAACCCAAAATCACTACGGAAATTTAACTCAGAGAATTAGGGAAGGAAGGGCTTGGAAATCGATCATATTAGCAATCTGAACTCACTTCTGGATCTGGGTGGGTGGGTGGGTGGGTGGGTGCTCGCAGTTCCCCTTCTCCTCCTATTTTTAGCCCTATTTAGCTTATACACGAAAGTACAAAAAAATGCTAAAAGAGGCGAGAGTCCTACAGAGGACAGTGATCCGACCCAAGGTACAGCGGCCAAAAGAATGGTAGAATAACCACATGGGAAATCATAAAAAGTTCATGTTCACGGTTAGCAGTCCACATGACCAGCTCTGGCCAATCGCAGAACCCAGCCACTCATAAAGTTCTATCACAAAGTTGTAAATTTTCATAAAACAACAAGGAATTTATTGCATTTCTTCATGACTGCTTTAACAGCAGTCTTTTTCTCAGCCGCCATCTTTTCCTTTAAAAAAAAAACAAAAAAACAAAAGGGAAGAAGAATATGCAAAGATTCTGCGCCCCCCCACTTCCCGGCGGGGGGTCTCCGGCAGCCTCTTCCCTACGAAAGGTTAAACGCGCCCAGCTCTGATAAGGCTAAAAATTTGCAGCAGAATTACGTATCTTTAGGAACGTGCTCCTGCTGCAGGTTTCTGAATCTGTTCTATACCTGTGGTCTTTAATTACCAAGGGCAAGGGGCAACCCTGAACTGTTATTTTAAGCGTTTTGGGTTCGATTTGGCTTGGTGAAGACGAAAGGCGTAGCTCTTCCCTTTAATTGGATTGCTGTTGGGCTTGTTTTCGCTGAGCTTAGATGATTTCCCTTTCAGAAATTCGCCACGAAATTAGAAGGTGGGATGCCCCCGCCCCCCCCCGCCCCGCAAAACGCACCCTCACACGCGCGCGCCGTGCCCTGAAAGCCCAGGGTGGCAAAAGGGCCCTCAGAAGAATTTTACACGACCCTGGCAGAGCTGCATGCACACGTGCACGCGTTGGAGAGGCTGTGTGTGCATGCGTGCGTGCACGTGTATATCGGCGCATATGGAAAAAAGAGGCCAGGTGGAAAAAGAGCAGAGGAAGAGGGAGACATTCGTGCACAGGCGCACTAGAGTATTCAAAAACCTACACTACCGCAGTGGTACATGTCACGAAAACAATAGCAGCGGGCCAATGCAGCAAAATCGAGTTAGTTGGGCGATCAGGCTGTTCTAGACGCAGCTTCCGCCATCGGAAGGGCGCCTGGAGAAGGGATCTTTTTCCTAAGGAAGGATTCCCGCTTATTTGGTCTTTTGGATCAAAATGACCTGTTTTGAAGCGGATGGCAAGGCAGGGCGTGTTGCCCTACAGTAATTCCTGAAATTAGCTTCCCGTGGACCCCTAGATTTAGAAATGAAATAAAAAACAGACACGCACACACATCCGTGTGTTTCTCTGCCTATGAAACTATTCAACCATGCAGATTTATTCCCATATTTTATTACAACAATTACGATTCAATGACTGTTGGACCTATCCATTATTTGTGTGTGGATCTCTGTCTGTGACTATCACACACAAACACAGATAAACACACATAGACGCTATTTGTGATTGTGCGGGTGTACACATACGTGTGTGGATGTGATATTGCCATTGAAAGCTTTCAGATAGACAAGCAGACAGATAAGGCGCTGCCCCGCTGCCCCTTTATCTTCAAAACTCCACTTGAAACTGAATTTGGAAGCAATTTTCTTTGAATAGGACTATATCCTTCCATGATACGTGGTTAGGTCTTAGAAAGCAGAAGCCTTCGATTTTTACCCGATTTGCCCACTGATGGAAGGATATTTTTTTAACCAAATATGTGCGGGGAAGGAATAAAATATTTCAGATTTTATTTTGTGGAAAAAGAAAGCTATATTCAAAATGTTCAATCGCTTTTCATCATATTTTTTTCCTTTTTCTTTTGCTTGTAGGTTTAACAGAGCAGTGCGTGTCTGCTCAGAAGTAAGCCCTGTGGAGTTTAATGGGGCTTACTTCCAGGTAAGAGCGCGTAGTTACAGTCTGCCCAGCCTCCTCTCTTGGTCTCTTGTTATACAATTTTTTCCCGTGTTTTCATTCTGGTCCTTAACCTGCGTGCCATAATTATCTAGTGGGGTATATATCTAAACATCAGTAAAAATAAATTCTGTGTTATGGTGTATGCGCCCAAAATTCTGGAAAATTTTGCTGCTCAAATCTGTAATGATCTGCTGGAAGTATCTAAAATTAGTTAATTTGGGTTTTGTCTTGCTAATTTCCTTGCATAAAATTGCTTGCATTAATATTATAATTGTTTTGAGCTCAGTGTTATTTTGCTCAAGGAAGAGATGCTTTGCACGATGAAATAACCAAAGGGGGATAGAAATATGAAACAAGATAAGATGAAAAGGAAATACTGAAGTTACTAAGAAGACAGTCTCGAATCGGTATTATTATGTTGCTTCCATTCTTCTTGTATCTTTTGTGGGAGTCGCAATAATCAAAGCAGGAGGGTTCTTCCTCAGATCTAAGCTTCAGATATTAGGCAAACTGAATTGTTTTCTGAGCTGAAACAGTTACTCCCATTTTGGTAGATGGTTATTTTAACTTTGTATGGCCAAGACAGAATTGTACATCATTGCTGTATGGTTAGATTAGATTTTTTAATACTGTGGTGATGTTGACAGAAAAGGAGTCATATAGAAGAGAAAAATTGCTAAGTAGAAAACCCAGATTTTAAATTTTTGAATTCATACACTCTGGGAACGTTCCACGGAGAAGTTTCCCTGTCCAAGTTATAGAAAGAAGGGCTACGCCAGACAAAGGGAGCTTTTAAAGGGAAACTTTCCAAGGGATTCTCTCCAGCCAAACAACCGATCACACACATACACACAAAATGAAGAGAAAGTAATTACTGGACACAATTGCAGACTAATCATTAAGGTTATTTTTAATTATTCTTTTCCCTCTCTCTACGCATAGTAATCACAGAATACGAATAAAAATGCTTGGCCGACTATTAAATTATTGGCTATCTATCATACATCGGTTTTACTCAGCACAATATCCATTTCAGATTCTCTAGCGAGGAAGTGGTCCATTGTCAAACATGTCAAAATATACACCAACCAAAATGAACAAGCAAAAAATAAAAAAATAAAAAATAAAATAAAATACAGCACCGATAACCAGACATAGAGGTACAAATCTACCCAGAGGGGGAAGGAGAAGAGAAAGACAGAACTCTCACTTAATTATGTACAACAATTATCTTAAGCTAAGCATTGTGTTCCCTTCATACATTTGGAGTTCACGTTTTCTAAGGAAAAGTGCTAACCACATCCACATGTTCACTTCATATACTTTTTTCTTTAAATTACACGAGACAAAAAAAAAAAAAAGAGAGAGAGAGAACATCTTTTTTTTTAAACAAGAAGATTTACAAATACTTGGACTATATAAAGACCCACATAAGAAAACAAAACATCATCTATATTCAATTCTAAAGAGACATTTAATAGGTAGATTTATTATCAGCTTTGTTGTACAAAAACAAAACAAAAACAAAAAAGAGAGAACTGTTAATATAGGTAGTTTTCCAAGTGTCAAGAAACAGAAGAAACCATCCTTTGAGCGTGGACGTCTAGGTTTGTTTCTTTCCCTTTTTTTTTTTAGTGTACAGTCTTTATGTGTTAACTTTTAACTTTCAGTTTCTTTCCTTATTTTTCTGGACAGTACAGTCAGCCCCTCTTTTCCCTCACCCCCCCTCTCGCGCGTGCTCTCTCTCTCTCTCTCTCTCTCTCTTTCACTCTCCCTCTTTCACTCTCCCTCTCTTTCTTCCCCTGTCCCCCTCCTTTTCCTTCACTCTTCTTCATCTTCCTCAGCCTCTGGTTTTTCCTGGCTGTTTGAACCAGGGCCCGTGGGTTTGTTTTCTTTTTTCCATTTCATGCGCCTGTTCTGGAACCAGATTTTGATCTGTCTTTCTGTAAGACATAAAGCATGGGCTATCTCAATACGTCGCCGCCTGGTCAAGTAACGGTTGTAATGGAATTCTTTCTCCAGTTCCAGCGTCTGATACCTGGTGTAGGTTTGGCGACCTCTCTTTCTGTCAGTCCCTGTAAAACAATATAAAAATCTCATAAGTTCCCTTTTGTTGGTTTCTTGTTTTGCATTTGTGTGTGTGTCTGTGCTATTGCTATTTGGAGTCAATACCGCTTGCACTGGAGCTCCTCAAATCAAATTAAATCAATTCAAGCCCATCTTGTTTAACAAGAAGTGCATATACACACACATACTGTTTATTGCAACAATCAGACACATTTAAAATAAATAAATGTGAAGGATGGAAATACATAAAAGAAAGAGTAATGGATAGATATTCTGATGTGTTTTTTGTCCTATTAGAAAGCATTTGCAACTCTTCTATCCAGCCATTTAATGTTCAGTTCTATAATATCAAAACATGTCACTGTTTATTAGGCATGTGGTCTGGGCCTAGGCATGTCTATTAAGAAGTAAGCCTCACTGACTTCAGTGGAACTTCTCTCCCATAAGGATGCATTGGATTGCAGTCTTAATGAATTTAGGATAATTTCACAGTGCTTTCACATTTCACAGTTTGTAATTAGATCTTTTAAATGTTCACATCTCCCTCCATCTCTGTAATAATAATGATAATGATAAAGACATCCGTTGAGAATTCTGTTAAGATATCAGTTATTTATCTTCTCATAAGGGATGCCTTTTTCCTTAAACATGTAGCAAAAATGGGAATGGTATTAAATGCAAGAAAGCATCTTCCTTGTATTAATTCCCACATCTGGCGAGTTTCTTCAAGCCAGTAATATTACAGTTTGGGTAGTGTCACTTCCTTCCTACTTCAGATTGGTTCTGTGCGTGTGCTTAAAAGAAATTGTTATTTTGGGCCTTTTTCTTTAGGGAACTTGGAACCTACTGAACTCTGTTGTTGACATGGGAATTCCTCAAAGCAAGAGTCAAGTCGTTGACCACAATATTTATCTGAGCATAGAAAGAATCTGGATTCAAACCAGGAATCAATTTTCCTGTCATTTCTTGAGTCCAGTTGTGGGTATGATCCACTAACAGAGCTGAATCCCCTGCTCTTTGACTAGAGATGGAATTTACGTCTAGCTCCTGCGCCAGCCAAACGACCCTAGATCACTCATCTGAAACATTCTTGGAGATTTTCAAGTGCTTGCTGTTTACGAAAAAGGAGGGATGGGATGGGGTGGGCGGCGATGGTCTTCTCTTCAAGAAAGGAACAGTAGGAAAGTCCGTCGGGCTATAAAGAACAGGGGGTATAAGTTGTCTGTGGAATGTGGGCTGTAAAATCTGTTGAAGGGAGCGCCATAAACATCTCTTGAATGGGGCACCCAAGACACATTCTCTCCTCACCAACGGAATCTCCCTGACCCAGCCAAACAGCAGACAACAAAGATGAAAATGGGCTGGGGGAAGAGACCCCCCCACCCCAAGCTCCACTGAAGGTCGATTTAAGTTCTGAGAACTGACAAAGAAGCTGCAGTTAGTCGTGAGACTGCACCGTCTCTGTTCTGCACCCAACATGCTGGAATCTCTTCTCGCAACTCTCCATCAGGTTGCCTCCCCAACAGTAGCTATTGTTTTTATCTTATTCTTACCCCGCTCCAAACAGCAAAACTGGGCTTTGATATAGCATCTGTAAAGCTCAGTTTACGGATTTGCTAATAATGTGGAGGGGAAAAAGCTGACCTATTGGGGTAGGTCTTCAGAAGCTAATCCTGGTTGTGCGTCTCCGCACTCTGGCCCCCCCCCCCCCCCATTTCTCCGATCTGCGTTCCTGCAGTCTGCGTATAGTTCTGGTCTGAAATTTTTGCTCTTCCCTTCCGTCTCTTCCTGTCTACTCTCCCATTCCTATAGAGAAAGCTATCTTCTACGCAAGTTGCTTTTAAAGATAACTCCTTTATCACCTCATCAGACGACTGCCTGGTAACTTGCAGAGACAGTAAATGGGATGCGCGACTGAGAGGCTGGCAGAGCTCCTAAACAGCTTCAGTACTCTGAGAGTTGCGCCGTGTCAGTGCCCTAAATCTTGTTCGCCACAGATACGCATCTGACAGTCCACCTTCTACCCAAGCAGTCACCAGTGTAGTGATGTGCATGTGTTTGTATTCTTATGCACTAAAATTTACAAAGGGTCTGGCAACCGGCTTGCAGTAGGCAGAATGGGATTGCAGTTACATTCATTGCCTTCTGCTTCCTTGGACATAACGGCACTGAAGAGAATTAGCCATGTTATTACACCTTTGCTATCATCGTGCCTGTGGGGAATTTCCGTGCCCATATATATATATCACCTATAACCTCTTGTTGGCCTGGGAGAAAAAGGAAGCCAGTATCAAGAACTCTCACAACTTCTCAGTTGCTCCAAGAAGTCTAGCCAATCTGACTACAAGTACAATCCTCTTCGGGTTGATCGGGAGAAAGGGGGGACAGGGCCACATCTTCCACTGTTTTGCTTGCCCCGCTGTTCATTCCTGATCGTCTTGTGGTAAGACGGAAAAGCAAAGAGAAGCTAATCTAATGCGGCTCTGCACTTTTATAGTGCGTTCCAATACATCACTACTCAGTGGTGAGCCCCACGGAGTTCAGGGGGACTTCCCACCTGTGTGTGTGTGTGTGTGTGTGTGTCTAGGATGGTTCTTTGCTTGACTTGAGGAAGTGTTCTGTGCAGCCCGAAAGCTCTCCAGCCGTGTGGATTAGCTGTGGGTAATCCTAAAGCAATGTAGCATTTGCCTGCCCCTGGATTTGGGAGCCCCACCAAGCAAAAGATCTGGAGACACCTGAAACATCTTCCGTTCTCACAAGATGGGAACAGTTGGTGAAGATATTCACCAATATATAGTAGAAACGAAGTAGGCCGGGGTGTTAAAGACCATTCCTGAGTGGGTTTTCCATTTCATAAGGTGCCCTGGCCAACTCAGAAGAGAAATTCTTCACATTTCCCTTCACAACAGTAGTGAAAGCAGGCAGACAGAGCCAGATAAATGGACTAGACTTTGGATTCTTGTCAACACGGAGCAAACTCAGACATACGTGGGGCAGCAGGGATGGATTTAAGAAATGTGACGTATCTGACCCACTATTACAGAATCCTTTGGCAGCCCCCCCACAGCCACACATGCTGGCTCCTGTCCCCAGCCGTCACAGTGCACTTTTTTAATACCCTGGGCAAGGACCGATATTTATTCCCTTCTCTTCTGATCACTTCCCCTCACTCCTCGTCAAATCCGCAGAATCCAGGCATGTAATTCGGTCCTCAGCGGACTTCTGCAAAAGGCGATCGGAAGGGAGGGGAAGAGACGTCTGCGTGTGTAAAACTCCAGTGGCGCTGGGATGACTTGATGGCCGGGCTCAAATCAATCAAACTAGGCTCTTAGATCGCGCAAATGGGACAGTCTTCGTTTCATCCGGCCCCTTCCCCATGTCTGCTTCTCTCCGTTCCCCCCCCCCCCCCCCCCCCCCGTCAGTGCAAATAAAAAAAAAAAAAAATAAGCAAGCACGATTTCTCAGCAGACCCACGCATCCCCTGAGCCGAATCTGAGTGAAACTTACTTCCAAGTTTGTATGCTTGGAATCGTGAGAAGGAAAGGGGGAAAGAGGGAAGGAAGGAGGGAAGGAAGGAGGGAGGGGGGAAAGAAGGAAAGAAAGAAAGAAATGTGGGGTGGCTGAGGCAGGACTTCCTCTTTCTCCTCCCTCCCCCTCCCCCCAGTTGTGCAGCTCAGTCCTGTCTTCCAAGGCATCGTGGCTTTTGCGTCGAGGAAGGCAGCAGCAGAAGCAGCAGAACTAATAAATATTTGAGCTGATTGTTTGTTTAGGACGAGTTTCTTGCCGGGTCACAGACACACGGAGAGCGAGCTTCGTTTTGAGGCAAACGTCATAAAAGGAGTTCAGAGCCGTCCTCTTCTGCCTCCCCCCCCCCGCCCGCCGCCACCCCACAACACAGCTTCCCCTCCCCTCCAGTTCATTTATATGCTCTTCTCCCCAAGGCTTTCCCGAGACCGCCGCCGCCGCCGCCATCTCGCAGGGCTCTCACCTGTGCTTCTCATCCACGGGTATATCCGCAAGTTGTTTTCGTGCCTCAAGTCTGCGTCCCTCTGGTCGCTTTTGTTGCAGTTGGGCTTGGACGCGTCTCCCGGACACATCATGGAGAGGTTTTGCTCGAACGGGGAACAGTGCATGTTGAAGGAGCTGGCTTCCAGACCGTAGCTGCTGGAGTACATGCCGGGGGCTTGGGGGTGCATGCCTCCCCCGTTGGGGTACAAACCAGGCATGGGAGCAGCGAAAGAGGCCGTGGAACTGGAGCCATAGCCGGTGCGCTGGGCATTGGAAGCAAATGCGCAAGAAGTTTGCTCAGGAAACACTCCGGAGGGGAAAACCGAATTTGCGGCCTGATATTTAGAAAATAAAGCATTCGCATAATACAATGAACTCATAATCTGGCCGGGTGATTTGTAGGCCGGGACGTTTTAGTGTCGGTTTTACGAGGTACCGTGATATATTACGGAATTAGACTCCAGATTTACACCAAAAAGGACCCCCTTTTTCCTCCCTAGACCATGTGACTCCGGTCCACGTGATTCGGGCGTCGCCAATCAACGCCTGGCTTCCTCCCTCCCCTCCGACTCCCCCCCCCCCCCTCCCAAGCTGTCCCCCTTGTAATATGGAAAAGGGGGAAAAACACTCTGTATGGAGTCCTGGTTGGGATTTATACAATACGATGCATTATTGATGATAGGATACAAAACCTCCCAAGATAGAAGCGGGAAGGAGACCAAATGGGCACCCGAGTCAATAAGCCCCCGGTGAGATCAGCTTCTCTCAAGTAAGCTAGCAGGAAAAGAGACGGAAAAAGAAAAACAAGGCAAGGGAGGAGGGCTTGTGGAGCTGGTTCGTGGGCGCAAAGGCAGCACAAGGCGCAGAGAAGGGAGAGGAGCGCGGCGCACTGGCAGGCAGCGGAGGGAGCCGGTCGCGGAGCCGGGGAGATGCTCCCGCGGCCGGGGGGAACGGGGAGCAAGGCAGGGCGGGGGGCGCCCGGAAGGCCCTCCTGCGACCGGGCCCACTTTCGCCCTTCTAAAGAAGCAGATAAAAGTGGGAGACGCCAACCTTTCCGATCACGCCTAGACTTCGCTTGCTCGCCCCCCCCCCCCCCGGCCGCCCCCCCCACCCCGCAGTCTTTCTCGCAGATACGCCAGGAGAAAACGCTGGATAGGTATACCCCGCCCTATCCCGCGTCCTCGGGGCGGGTTTCTATGCGATGCCATGCCATTGGCCCTGGCACGGTCCCCACCCCCGCCACCCTCCCCGCGAAGGGACTCCACGTCTGACTCCCGCCAATAGCCCCCAACCGGCCACAGTGATACTTAATATTGCTCTTTCAAGCCCCCCCCCCCGCGCCTTGTACCCGCGACAGTATCTCCCTTTCTAAACGCCGCTCAGTTCTGTACGTAATTTATTCTACTGCCACAGGCGTTGGGTCTTGGAGCTGGCTTTGCTTTTTCTGGTGGCGGAAGGGGTGGGGGGAGAGGGGGAGGAGGAAAGATTACAACAGATCTCTATTTAAGCGTGTCAGCTCTTCTGCTGGACTCAATTACAGTGAGAAGGAAAATGTGACCAGCTGGTTACTCTGCTTTCTGCTGGGGAAGCAGGGAAGGTTTCCAAGGGGGGGGGGGGGATGGAGGGGGGAGGGGGAGGAAGCGAGTCAATGAAAGAGAGTGAGAGAAATCGCAAGGCACACGTTTCACTGAAACTTATCAAAGCCCTCTATGACAAATAAGAAAAAAGATGGCTCTACCATTAAGAGATTGGCAGAGGCCCTTCTTTTCAAGGTTAAGTTGCAAAATACAGAAAGCGGGGGGGGGGGGCATACATCACGGTTAGGCTCATCATGGGAGGGGGCAGAGGGCAGCTGACAATGTGCCACAGACCGAAAGACCAAGGGAGGCGGGGGACCCTGGCAAGAACGCAGGGCTGGGAATCCATCTGTGACAAAATACACTCGGGCACACACACACGGACGCAAGTTTTCTGAAACTATGCACATCCATCCCTGCCTCCTGATCCGCAGCCATGAAGGATCTGACTGGAATACTTTAGAGACTGTCTTCTTCCCCAGCGCCCCCCTCCCCGGTGTATCTGCACTCAAGCCACTTCAGGTGTATCTGCACTCAAGCCAGGGGTCTCTTCGGGGTCTCTCCAAAGACTTCTTGGACTGCTGCAGGGACGTTGGGCCGGGGCTGGTTGGCTTGCTGGCTTTGGTGTTGTTTTTTAAACCTTCTCTCCAAGACGTCCCGGAGGAAATTTTAAGCAGAGTGAAGAAAGAACATTGTCACGGGGGAATTGTGGCTTGTAAACTTTATTGTTACCCCATTCTTCCTCCGCTTCCAACTTCGACAATAGAACAAAGTGAAGAAAGAACAACAAAATATAGCATTAGTTTCCCCGTCCCCCCATAAAATAATTCACGTATACAGTATACATTCTCTTTTTTCACAGTAAACCTAAGGGAGGGGGGAGCGAACCGGGGGTGGGGGGGAACGAAACACTTTATACAACTTGTTCCACTGCGTGCATGCTAAGGAGAGAGAAGGGGGGGAGAGGGGGGGGAGACCCCTCTTTTAAATTTTTCTTAATTTTTTCTTTTATCAATTTTTTTCTTTTTCTTTTTCTTTTTAAGATAGAGACACTGAAAGGACCAACGCATAGAAAAGCAAAACGGGAACCGAAAAGGAAGGGAGGAATGAACGACAGCTACAGCAACTGAAGTGGAGACAGCGACTTCATAAATAGGCAGTTTCATGTTGTCGGGTGTGTTTTCAGAGCTACCTGCAGAAGAGTTCAACCACAACAAGGGCAGGGAGAAAGACCGCGGGAGACAGAAACAGCGAGAGAGGGGCGAGAAGTGGGGGCTGGTTTAAAAGTGCACTAGGTATCGTCTTCACATATTTTCTATATATATATACATACATTAGAGAGAAAGAGAGAGGGGAAAGAAGGAAGGAAGGAAGGAAGGAAGGAAGGAAGGAAGGAAGGAAAGGTCTTCAAAGTGCAGTATATTTTTTTTTACATATTTTCTACAGCACTGAGAGTGTGTCCCAAAGAGATGAAGGGGCGGGGTGGAAGAGAAAAGGGGGCATCTTCACAGTCCATGGTTAACAGAAGCTATTGCGTTACACTATTACTAATTCTTAACTGGCAAGAAAAGGAAAAAATAACAACAAAGCTAAAAAGACCCCAAGATCTCTCTCTCTTTTGTGTTTGTTTGTTTGTTTTAAATATATATATAGTTCGTTGTATGTATCAAAGGACAATCAGGAGAAGAATGACGCTCACAGCTATATTCTTTTACAGCAATAACGGGGGAGCTCTCCTCCCCTGAGCAGCGTTTGCCCCCCCACCCCTCACGTTAACTGCCCTAATGGAAGGACGAGGGGTGCTCTGGCTTGCCTGTCCAGTCTCGCAGCTCCTATTTCTTGTCCGCGCTCTGTGCTTCCTCGCCCCCGTCCACCTCCTGCGACCTTTCCATTTTCTGTTTCTCCAATTCTTCCTGCTCGCATTTGCTGCTGGGGAACTTATCCTTGTTGTTCTCCTTTTTCCACTTCATCCGCCTGTTCTGAAACCAGATTTTCACTTGCCTTTCGGTCAGTCCGAGCGCGTGCGACACTTCGATCCTCCGCTTGCGGGTCAGGTAAGGGTTGAAGAGGAATTCCTTCTCCAGTTCCAGGGTCTGGTAGCGGCTGTAGGTCTGCCTGCCTCTCCTCCGTCCAGCGGCTGCTGGGGTGTTGCGGGAGGGAGGCGGGAGGGAGGGAGGGAGAGAACAGGAGGTTGAAAAGACACAGGAAACAGCTCCGGGAACTGAGAGGGCGAGAGAGGAGGGACGCGCACACGCGCGCACACAAAGGCAGGGACGGAACTGCCCTGCTATAATCTTACAAAGGGAAGGGTAATTATCCAAGGATGGGTGGAGGGAGAGAGGGGCGAAGGCGACCCCATCTGCGCTCGCCCCCCCCCCCCCCGCGCACCCAGCTTGCAATGCCACCCTGCTTTCTTGAAAGGAAGCGTTGCCCCATCCCTCGCTCCCTCCCTCTCCCCCGGCTGTGTCATTTTCTGGCGAAAATTATGCTCCGCTGGGGTTGCCCCCCCACAGCAAGAACGCCCTCCCCAGTTCCTAAAAATGCCACCGCCGTCCCACACCACCCTCATGACATCTCCAGAGGGTTAAAAAAGATAATAACTAGAGTGGGGAGGGGGAGGGGGAGGAGGAGGTTAAGGAGAGACACAAAAAGAGGGTCTCGAAGGTTGTAAAAGTACCATAAACTTTAAGGGGAGCTTCTCCCATTGAAAGGTGTGGGGGGGGGGAGAAGTCCAGTTCTTCCCATTCAGGAGAAAAAGGGTTCCTTTCAGGGTAATTAAGCGATAAAGCAATCGAGAAGTGCAAAAGTTTACGCTCATAAAACAGTAAAAAAGTAACTGAGGGTTGTGGGGGGGGGAGGGAGGGAGGGGGGCAAGCCAGTGGAAGAGGTGGGAAAAAGGAGGGCTAACTTGTTTTATGGGTTCAGGAAATGCCTTTCGCGGTGGCTGGGCGGCTGGCCCTTCCTAAGATACCTCCTCACCTTGCGGTCGCATCCAGGGGAAAAGCTGCGTGGGAGACGGGCTCTGCTCCGAGTTGTCCGCGTCCTCGCCCAGGCCGGCGGAGGCGAGTTTGCAGTCGGGGTACTGCACCAGGTCGGACTCCTGGGCGCTGAAGAGGCTTTGTCTTTGCAGCGGGTCATAGCCGTAGAAGTTGCCCGGGTCCCCGTGGCAAGCCACGGCGCAGGGATTCTGCTGGTAAGGGGAGCTGGAGAGCGAGGATGCCCCGTGGTAGAACTCCTGGATCTGGGTGGGGTGCTGGAAGGTGCCGCCGGTGCTCGGCCCGTACACCACCGTCGGTCGCCCGCCGAGCTCCTGGGCGAACCCACAGTCGTAGAAGTTGGGGCGCAGGGAGTCCCCGGTTTTGTACTTGGAGAAGAGGGAGTTGACAAAATAGGAGCTCATTGTCATACAAACAGGTTACTTTAAATAGACACCGGAATAATGAGTGCAAGGGTCAGGGTGTACCAAAAGCCAGCGGATATTCGCCACAAACCCCGATGAAGGCGACGAGATGCTAACCCAGGAGTCTTTAGGATTTCCAGGAGTATATACAGGTCTACATAGATTTAAAGGAGAAAAAAATCCCAAAGATTGAGTCAAAACTCTTTGCCAGAGTACATGGTACCGGATTCCTGCTTTTGATTGTTGTTGTTGTTGTGATTTGTTGTTGTTATTATTATTATCGCTCGCTCTCTGTCTTTCTCTCTCTCTCTCTCTTCTCCTTTTTCTTCTTTCCCCCCCTCCTTCTTCTTTAACCACCCCCCCCTTAAAAAAAATCGGCACTTAAAGAGAGTTCTCGCTTTAC